ATGGTATATATATATGGTATATATATATATACAGTGGAATATTACACATCAAAAAGAATGAAATCTTGCCATTTGCAGGGATGTGGGTGGAGCTAGAATGTATTATGCTAAGTGAAATAAATCAGAGAAAGACAAATATATGATTTCAGTCATATGTAGGATTTAAGAAACAAAACAGATGAATATTGGGAAAGGGAAAACAAAGAAAGAGAAGGAAACAAACCATAAGAGACTCTTTTTTAAGACAATTTTTTTTAATGTTTTATTTTTAATGTTTTTGAGAGAGAGTTAGAGACAGCGTGAGCAGGAGAGGGTCAGAGAGAGAGGGAGTCACAGAATCTGAAGACAGGCTCCAAGCTCTGGGCTAGCTATCAGCACAGAGCCCAATGCGGGGCTCAAACCCACGAACCGTGAGATCATGACCTGATCCGAAGTCGGATGCTTAACCAACTGAGCCACCCAGGCCCCACAAGAGATTCTTAACTATAGAGAACAAACTGAGTGTTGATGGAGGGAAGTGGGCAGGAGATGGGCTGAATGGGTGATGGGTATTAAGGCACTTGTCATGAGCACTGAGTGTTGTATGTAAGTGATGAATCACTGAATTCTACTCCTGAAACCAATATTGTACTGTATGTTAACTATAATTTAAATTTTAACAAGTATTCATAAACTCTAGTCAGAATATCATTTTGTTTTAGAGTTCTCTGCTGCTTTATTTAGTATGTTTTTGTTTTGCTTTGTTTTAGGTGAAGCATCTCCTGGAGCCATTCCACAATACAAAGAAAGGATTCCTTCTGTGACTCATAGTCCAGAAATAATGGATACATCGGAACTACGGCCATTTTCCAAGCCAGAAATAGCACTGACAGAAGCCCTGAGGCTTTTAGCTGATGAGGATTGGTAAGCTCACCATCCTTAACTTAAAACTAAGCTGAGTGCCAGAAGTGTCCTGTAAATTTTTTATTAAAAACTTTGAAATATTTCCTATTAAAATAGCCTTAGAAATGATTATTATAGTTTTTAGACTGAGGTTTTTTTAACTTCTTAATGTAATTGAACTCTAGTCCTAATAGCACACTATTAACCAGTTATATTGTAATTTATGTACCATAAGGACATAGTTTAGCTTTATTATGGATTACGTAAACCTTTTGTTACTGGAATAAAAATCTCACCATTTCTCCAAGTGTTTCTGTGTAAAATATATTGTATAACAACCCTGGAAATACTTACATGTTACTATCATAGCTGCAGCAGCCCCCCAGTCTGGCCCAGCTGGAGCGTTTCCTGGCTGCACGTGTCCCACCTGTTTCTTTCCCTCTCCTTCAGTATCTCTCTCTAGCCCTATCTAACATATCCTCTTCTACCACAGCATATTCATCAACATTAAAATGTGCTATATCTCCTACTTTTTAAAAGTCTTCTGTAAACTGCACATCTTTTTCACATTTCTTTTCTTCTCCTTGTTTAGCCAAGTCCTCTAAAAGGCCAATTCATTGTCTTTGGTTTTTCACTTCATATTTTCTTCTCAGCCTTTAATTGGCTCTCAGCCCTCTGCATCATGACCATCACATCACTAAAACTATGAAAATGAACATCTTGCTAAACTTACATTGGTTATTTGTTAGTGGTTATCTTTCTTAGCCTTTTACTAACATTTGACACAATTGACACTCCTTTCTGATTTCACCTTGGAAAATTAAGTCTCTTGACTCTTTTGTTACTTAGTATGTTCTTATTTTTTCTGTTTGAGTTCAACTGAGGCATGCTCCAGAACTCACTTCATTGGCATTCTCTGTCTACATTTATTCCATAGATCCAGGCTGATGATCATTTTCTAAAAGCCAGATAGTGAATGTTTTGGGCTTTGCAGGCCAGATGTCTCTGTCACAACTCCTTGACTTTGCTTTTGTAGTGTAAAAGCAGCCTTAGATAGTGTGAAAACAAATGGCTTTAGCTATGTTCCAATAAACTTTACTTATAAAAAAAATCTGATAGGGCCAGATTTTGTCTGTGAGTCATAGTTAGCCAACTTGTTTCCTAAATGATTACATTCAGTTACATAGCTTTAAATTCAGTGCATACTTTGATTCTCGTGAATGTTTGTCTGGATCCCAGATATCTTCTTGAGCTGAATTTATAATCCAGCTGCCTACTTGACACTTTCACTTTGATGCCAACAGACATTTTAAATTTAACATATCCAAAATAGAACTCTTGATTTCCACTTCCTGCCAAGATGTGTTAACAGACATTAGATTTTCCTACACATCTGAAAGAAATAAAGAAATTGTAAAAAATAAATGAAACAGTAGTTTTCAAAATATTCACCAGGCTGTGACAAATAGTGATCTCTGAGAGACGAGAAACAAGTAAGGTGAGCTCTACAGTTGCCCTGGCTTATTTTCTACAGAGTTTCCAGGTCACAGCTCAAAGAAAGGAAAACTCTGTAAATACCAGCAGAGATGGAAATGGGAGCTGGGAGTTTGAGGAGGCAAGGCAGAGTACCAGAGAAGATGGAGCTTCACAAAGAACTCCAGACTTTTAGAGGATTTTTCCCAAATATTTAACTGAGTCCTAGTCAGGGCATACATGTAAGAAAATTACCTGAAGCCAGAGCTACAATGAAGTTACAGGGAACAATCTCTGAATACTTCTTGTTCCCACCAGCATAGTGGAAAACCTCATAATTCACAGAGCACTGAGTAGAAACTCAGAAGAGTTTTGCTTCTTAGTGTGGTAAATTAAACTGTAGGCTAAAGACTGGTTTGGTTCTTCCTAACAAAGCATAAAAGCAAGTCCTAACATGATCAAACTTTTCAGATAATCTAACTCCATCCCAGAACAAAGCTCAAAAATGATTTAGGAATATAAAAATATCTCAGGTAAAATACATAATGTCTGACACCTAATTAAAAAATTACCAGGCATGGAAAACAGTGGGGAAATACAACCTATAATGAGAAGAAAAAAAAACAACAATTGAAACCAATCCAAAAATGATACAGATGAAAGGATTAGTAGACAGGGACATTATAGCCATAGTTATAATTCTATTATAATTCTATTATTTAATTCTATTCCATGTGTTAAAGAAACTGGAGGAAAGACATGAACAGAGAATCAGTGAGCTGGAAGAAAACTTGCAAAATCCCTTTTGCCATATAATGTAACATGATTGAGGGAAGTAATATCCCTTCATATTCACACTGAAGGGGAGGTTATTATCAGGCGGTATATGCCAAGGGGCAGGAATCATGGGTGCCGTCTTAGAATTATGTATTTCACATTAGGAATAAAAAGAGTCATTTTATAATGATAATGGTAAAGAGGTTAATTCATCAAGTGGTCTTGATTTTACTTACCAAATAACAGCTTCAGAATACATTAAATAAAAACTGATAGAACTGCAAAAGAAATAAATCCACAATTATGGTTGGAACTTCAACAACTCTCTCTCATTGATAGAACTACAAGAAAGAAAACCCTCTAGTAAAGATATAGAAGACTTGAATGACATAATTGACCAACTTGACCTAATTGGAATTTATAGAATTCTCCACCTAAGATAGCAGAATTTATATTCTTTTCAAGTCCACAAGGAACATTTAACAAGAAAAAATAATATTTTGGTGTCATAAAATAAGTAACAAATTTTTAAAAATGTTTTTATTTATTTTTGAGAGAGAGAGAGAGAGTACTAGTTTGGGAGGGATGGATCGAGAGGGAGACACAGAATCTGAAGCAGGCTCCAGACTCTGAGCTGTCAGCACAGAGCCCGACACGGGACTCAAACTTGTGAGCTGTGGAATCATGACCTGAGTTTAAGTCAAATGCTCAACTGACTGAGCCACCTAGACAACCCTAAAATAAGTAATTTAAAGGGATTTAGATTATACAAATTTTGGTCCCTGACTACAGTGAACTAGAGTTAAATTAGAAATTAGGAACAGATACCTGGAAAATCTCTAAGTGTTTTGAAACTAGCACACTTAGAAGCTACCCATGGATCTAAGAAGCAATCAAAAAGGGAAATTAGAAAGTATTTTGAATTTAATGAAATTAAGAATGAAACATCAAAAATTATGGGATACAGCTAAATTAGAGGGAAATTTATAGCACCCTAACACCTATATTACAAAAGAAGAAAAGATTTATGTCAGTGACCTAAGCTTTTACCTTAAACTAGAAACAGAAGAGTAGATGGAGCTCAAAAAAATAAAGAAAAGAAATAGTAAAAATAGCAGTAGAAATTTAAAAAATAGAAAACAGACGAACATTAGAGGAAATCAGTGAAAACAAAAGCAGTTTCTTGGAGAAGATCAGTTGATAAACTTGTAATCAGACTGATCAAGCAAAAAATATGGTAAATTACAAATCAGGAATAAAGAAAGGAACCTCACTACTGATCATGTAGCTCTTAAAGAAATAATAAAGGAATATGATAAACAGCTTTATGCCCATTAATTTGATGACTTAGTGAAATGGACAAATTCCTTGAAAGACACAAATTACCAAAACTAACTAAAAAAAAAAAAAAGCTAACCTGTATAATCCAATCTATTAAGGATATTGAAATTGGGCTTAAAGCCTTTCCACAGAGAAAACTCCAGGTTCAGATGGTTTTACTAGTGAATTATACCAACCATAGGGAAGAAATAAATTCTACACAAACTTCTTAGAACACTGAAGAGGCTGGAGTACTTCCCATCTTATTCTTTGAGGCTAGATACCAAAACTATACAAGGATAAAACTGTAGACTGACAGAAAGAATATCTTATCAACATAGATGTAAAAATCTTTAAAACAGAAGTTTTTATTTCCCTGCCTCCTAATCCCAAACCTGCTTCAGTATTTACCATATTAGTTAATAGCTCTGCCATGGACAGTTAGTTGTTCATACCAAGTCAGTGTTGACTTTTTCTCTTTTCTTCACATTCCATCAGTTCCTTTATTTTCAGAACATATCTCAGCTACATTTATCTCTCACCTGGCTATGGTAGTATCATCACTGGTTTGGATGCCTCCATTATCTCTGAACTCATACAACAGCCAGAGTGACACTGTTAAAACATAAATCAGACCATGGGATTACCCCATGTAAAATGCTCCAATGGCCCCAACATTGATTAGCAATATTTTTAAAAAAAGCAATATAAGAGGATGGAGAAAATTATACTATTTTAGTAAGAGTCATGACAGAAGGCTTTCCTGAAGAGGTGACATTTGATACTCACATGAAGTAAGAGAGAAGCCACTGGAAGAGTGTTTAAAGAATTAAGAACAAAGATCTTGAGGTATAAATGAGCTTGGACATTAAGGAAATAGCCAGATGGCTAGAATGGATAAGTAAGGCAGAGCAGTGTAGGGGACGAGGATACAGAAAGAGGTCACAGACAGATAATTAAAGACTTTGTAAGCTGCAAGTTAAAATTTTTTTGGTTTATTGCTTCCCTCACCTTCTGTTCTCTAGAAGAATGTGGCATTCCAATCGCTAGGGGGAAAATATTCCTTTTTATTTACAAAGCATGAACTTCATTTGACTGTCAGTGTTGATTTTGGCTCTTAAAAGATATTTTGAATCATGAAAGAGATAACTACGTATTATTTATTTGAAATTCCTAAATGATATGGGAAAATAAGCAAGGTCTCCACTTTGGCAGTATTTCATACACGCAAGAGAAGATATCTGAGATCCTGTTTAGGTTGAGCCCCATTTAATAAGTGATCCTGTCATTTGTTTCTTTTTCCCATAGGGAGAAGAAAATTGAAGGACTGAATTTTATTAGATGCTTAGCTGCTTTTCATTCTGAAATATTGAACACAAAGTTGCATGAAATAAGTTTTGCAGTAGTTCAAGAGGTAAACTTCGTTTTCAGCTGAGTTAAGGATTGTTTGGATGACAAAGAATAAATCTGCCACATTTATTTGACTTTTAAAGAATACTTCTGTACTAAGTGTTGTAAATAATAAAACAGCTTGTATGTAGTTAAAAGTAGCTCATGTTTGGGGCTCCTGGTTGGCTCAGCATTAGAGCATGTGTGTGACTCTTGATCTTGGATTTGTGAGTTACAGCCCCATGTGGAGGGTGAATAAAAAAAAAAGTAGCTCATACCTTACTTACCAACTTTTAAAATAATTATTACATGTTAATTTTTAGGGCATAAGATAATATGTATTAAAACAGGTTACTATAATAGTAAATTTGGTTTCAAAGTCATTGTTACTAATTTTCTTTCAGAATGTCAGCAAAATGTACATTTTGGAAATTTTTTTTAGGTGAAAAATTTACGCTCTGGAGTTTCTCGTGCTGCTGTGGTCTGTTTAAGTGATCTTTTCACTTACCTAAAAAAGAGCATGGATCAAGAACTAGATACTACAGTAAAAGTTTTGCTGCACAAGGCTGGAGAATCAAATACGTTTATAAGAGAAGATGTTGACAAAGCCCTGAGAGCTATGGTCAGTCATGTAACTCCTGCACGTGCAGTTGTTGCTCTGATCAATGGAGGACAAAGGTAATGTTCAAAATAATCAATGTGTCCTTAAACTAAAAAGTCAATTGGCCGTCTAGGATATAGGGGAAAAAAACAAGCAAACGTTAGTTTTATTTCAGTCAAAAAATAAATAATTCCTATATGATAAATATTAGATTAGGTGCAGAGCATATAAAGAATAATAATACTGATATTGTAGTAATTTTACCTACATTTATGGATATGGAACTAAATAAATGTCATTGACTATGAGTTTGTTTTATTTTTAATTTCTTAGGTGGGGGGGTAATTAATGTAATTTGTCATTTTAGCCTCCAAGGAGGTTGTTGAGAGTTATAAGTGATTTAATCATTTAACTTTAAAGGTACATCTTTGGTGGGGCACCTGGGTGGCTCAGTTGGTTAAGCGGCCAACTTCAGCTCAGGTTATGATCTCATGGTTCGTGGGTTCGAGCCCCGCGTCGGGCTCTGTGCTTACAGCCAGCTTAGAGCCTGGAGTCTGTTTCAGATTCTGTACTTGCCTCTCTCTCTGACCCTCCCCTGCTCACACTGTCTCTCTCTCTCTCTTTCAGAAATTTAAAAAAAAATTGTTTTTAATTAAAAAAAAAAGGTACATCTTTGGTAAATAGTTAATACATCCAATTTGTTTGATTTGACCATGTTTTCTTGTAGCCATTTACACATTGCAGTAAGAAGATGTACAGCCCAGCACTTATCAGATGTAGTAGAATATATGGAACCAGAGCGTATTTTATCTGGAACAAAGGATATGGCTGACCGTATATTACCAGCTGCTGCCAAGTTTGCTCAGGACAGTTCACAAGAAACCAGGTGAATAGCTCCTAATAATATTTGCTGAATCTGTTAGGATAAGGGCTTAAAAATAGGCAGCAAAGGTTAAAAAAGAATAAACATTTTTCCTAAGTTGATAAGTGGGGTCCACAGGGATTGGTGATGGGGGATGGACTTATTTAACCAATCTGTAAATGATCTTGAGGGAGTGCACAGTGAATTCTCCAAATTTACAGATGACACTACCTACTTCTGGGTAGTGAGATGCCATGTCACAGGGATGAACTGCATGAAAACGGCACAAGAATGTCTGAGTGGGCAGAAAAGTGGCAGAAGAACTTCATTTTGGGCAGATGTAAGGTAATGCATTTAGGGGAAATGATATATTTTCCAAGCTGTTAGGTGAAATCATGGAAGTAGGTGCACATGAAAAATACAGGAAGCAAAATGGATAACATATTATCTCCTGAAACATGATATAGCTGCACTTAGAAAATCCCATAAATTTCTGAACACTGTACTTGAAGAACAATTTTACAAATGTTAGGAATAGTCAGATAAAAAGGATGAAATAATTAAGATATGGATGGTACACTGTATTGGTAACATTTTTTTTTTAAGTAAATTCTTTCTCCAAGTGGGTCTTAAGGTCATGACCCCAACATCAAGAGTCATATGCTCTATGACTGAGCCAGTGAGGTGCCCCCTAGATGTACTGGTGACAGAAATTTTAGATGTAGTCAGAACTTAGGTTCAGTTCCTAGCCCCAGTCACTGTTTGCCCTAAAGCAAATGACTTAATTTCTGTTAGGCTAGGTTTCCTTGTATGTAAAATTAGGAAGGTGGGACTAGATGTTTGATAATGTCCCATACAAAATCTAAAAATTTATGGCAGTTACATATGAAGATAGATTAAGAGTAGGGAGGGAGGATCCTGAGTTCATAGAGATTAAAGTAAAGAAGGATAAAAAAAAAAATAAAGAAGGATATTAAAGTATTAACCTTTCTAAGACAAAGGTTTCCTGGACTTTAGGTAACGAGTTAATCTTATGGAAATCATTATACCAGAAGGTAATATAGAAAGTCAATGTATTCATTTTCTATTGCTGCGTAACAAAGTACCACAAACATGGTGGTTTAAGGCAACAGAGACTTTTTTAGCTTACAGTTTTTTAGGTTAGAAGTCTTGCATGGCTCAACTGCTTTCTCTGCTTAGGGTCTCCCAAGGCTAAAATAAGGCTGAGCTCTTATCTAGAGGCTCTATAGAAGAATCTGCTTCCAAACTCATTTTGGTTGTTAGCCAAATTTAGTTTCATGTAGTTTTAGGACTGAGGTCTCTGTTTCTTTGCTGTTGTCAACCAAAGTCCTCTTTCAGCTCCTTAAGGCCACCCCAATTCCTTCTTACGCAGCTCCCTCCATCTTCAAGCCAAAAACAGTATGTCGAGTGGAGTCCCCCTCTTGCTTAGAAGCTCTCTGATTTCCTCTTCTGTTACCAGCTATAGAAAGTTGTCTGCTTTTAAGAGCCCGTATGATGAGATTAGGCCCACCCAGAAAATCTCCGTTATCTTAGAGTCAGCTATACCATATAATATAACATAATGCTGGAAGTTATATCTCATATTTACAAATGGTAGGGATTACAGTAGGACATCTTTGAGGAGCCATTTTAGAAGTTGTGTGTATACCACAGTAAAGTCCAAAGCAGTTTAGGACGGTTCAGATCATAATAGACTAGTTAGGAACAAAAAATATACACATAATGGTTGTTTTGTGTATGTCTTTAAAAAATTTTTTTTAATGTTTATTTAGTTTTGAGAAAGAGAGAGAAAGCAGAGCACAAGTAGGGGGAGGGCAGAGAGAGAGGGAGACACAGAATCCAAAAGTAGGCTCCAAGGTCTGAGTTCCCAGCACAGAGCCTGACGTGGGTCTCATACTCACAATCTGTGAGATCATGACTTGAGCCTGAGCCACCCTGGTGTCCCTGTTTTGTGTGTATCTCAACCTTTCCTTAATGACATGGTAATTCTTCTAATCCATTTTGTCATTTCTTCATTTCTTATTTGAAGTTTTAAATTTATAAAATGGCTACAACTTTCCAGTTTTAATGTTTCTAACATTTAGTGTCCCTGTTGCTTGTTTGTTTGTTTGTTTGAGCCATTCTTCTATCATTAAGGGCCTGTGATGGATCTACAGTTTATAATATTATCATCTAAAAAGTTATAATCATCCTTGAAACTATAAATGATTAGGAACTACTTATCAGAGTGTAGACCTTATTCTGGTTCTGAGGATAAAACAATAATTTTTATTTTCTGATACTACCTCTCTTTCTATAATTTCATTATAGTTGAAAGGGCCTGATTGATACAGATATTTCTCAGATCATTCTGAACCTTCCTCCTATCCCCCAAGCCTTGACTTTTGTGCTTCTTCTATTTCCATATATTCCAATTTGTAGAAAAAAAACATAGCTATAATTAACTTTAGGGCCAAGCCTCCTTGAGGGATAGTAATATGATATAATTATAAGGTACTGTAAGCCCCCTCTATTCAAAAATATCTCCAATATGCACTTCCACGATATCTGTAGTTCTTCCATCAGAATGATATCTGGGCTTAAGGCTTTTTCCTAGAAGAATTACTTTTTAAAAAAGCAATTATTTTAAAATTTATATATTGTAAAAAACTTGGTTACACATTCATTACACATTCATTAATTTATAATCAATGATTTATCAACTAACTTTGGGTGTGTTTTAGGGAGCAGAGAATAGGTTTT